TATCAATGCAATCAGAAACACTGAAATGGAATTCGTGACATATTTAGTATAGCGTAGATGTGCTATTATGGACAACAGATGGCGCTGTTTTTCAAAAACGCATGTTTTTACCTGTCAAGGAGTGGCATCTATATAGTAGGTATATAAAAAGACGCGCCTATTCGAATGCAACTTTGTGTCAAAATTTCAAAGCAATCGGTGAAGAACTTTCAGACATTACAGCGTGTGTTGCTCTTACGTCCAACAGATGGCGCTGTTTTTCTAAAAAAACATTTTTTTTCCAGACACAGGCGAGTCATGCATATAGTAGATATATAAAAAGACGCGCCTATTCGAATGCAATGTTGTGTCAAAATTTAAAAGCAATTGGTAAAGAGGTTTCAAAGATTTCCCTCACATGAAAAACACATGAAAAACACAGTTTTTCAGAAAAGCAGATTTTTTTTACTGTCACAGACGTAACATCTATATAGTATGTATATAAAAACCTGGCCGGATGCGAATGGAACATTGTGTGCAAATTTCAAAGCAATCGGTGAAGAACTTTTGGAGATTAGCGATTTTGAACAAACGAACATATCCATTTTTATTTATATAGATTTATTTGTGTATACTGGCAGCAGGTTTTCTTTTAAACATGTCTCATTGAATATGACTGCATATTTAGTATTTACTATCTTCTGGTTTAGGGCTTCTACCCTCTAACTATTTTCCTAGCATCAGGGCTTAGCTGAAAGACGAGTTCTCAAAAACTCATTTTCGTTATTTCAAGGTGAAATAACAAAGTTATTTCTTCTACTATTTCCTGAGACTGATGGATGCCTACTACTAGCCAGAACGTCGTATTCGGCCTACTATGAAAGACCCGTTTTGCCTAATAGGCCAAGTTTTTCTGAATTTATATATTTTTCTAATTTTTTCTTATGAAATGATAAATCTGTCCATTTCATTATGTATAAGTTAATTGTTTTAAATTTGAGTTAAAACTAAAATAGATATATGACTGAACCTAACCAACCCTTCCGAACCTAACCTAACTTATCTTAACCTAACCTAAACTAAAACAACTAAGTCAATAAATTATGTTCCTAATATAATATAATAATAATAATTCCAATAAACTAATTGGAATCAATTCATTGAAAAAAAATCACTCGGCCTATTAGGCAAATCGGGCCTTGCATAGTAGGCAGAGAAGTGCGTTCTGGCTATTAGGTACGACATTATATATATATATATATATATATATATATATATATATATATATATATATATATATATATATATATATATATATATATATATATATATATATATGTGAACAAGCCTGAATGGTCCCCAGGCATATATGCAACTGAAAACTAACACCCCAGAAGTGACTCGAACCCATACTGCCAGGAGCACTCTTCAACTGGTGTACAGGAGCCCTTAACCTTTCGACCATCACGACTGGACAAAAGATGATGGTAGCCAAGGCTAATTCCCCATCATCCTGCTGGCACTCTGATGGTAATCTTGGGCATGGTATTTTATCAAATCACCTCATTCTTTGGGGCACACGTGAGGAACACAAATGCGAACAAGCCTGAATGGTCCCCACGAGTCGAGTCACTTCTGGGGTGAGAGTTTTCAGTTGCATATAGGCCTGGAGACCATTAAGGCTTGTTTGCATTTGTGTTCCTCACAAATGTACCCCTTGTAGTGGAAATGGCCTCATAGACCGCACGTTTTGATTTTTCCCACGCACGGTCTATGGGCCTATGTTTTTCGTTACAAATGGTGGGGCACGGTCTACGAGGCCTGTGTTTTCCGTTACCCCCGGTGAGATTTCGTTCCCGTCTGTGACCGTTTTCTAAGTTGCACCGTAGTCATAGACATTTTTCCTACACAAGGTCTATGGGGCCTATGTTTTTCGTTAGCCCAGTGTCCCTGAAACCGAATGTACAATAACGTCATTCCTAGTCTATTTTAAATCGCCTATTTACCTCCAATCTATGTTAACCAGACCATCAACTCTTGGTATTAGATAAACTTCAGTAGGTCTATTCCCTATTGATACCCCCCTTTCTTCTCCATTTATACACGTTACTAATGTAACTCCATTAATATTCAGAAGGTTCTTTTTATTCCCCTTACTCATCCGGAAGAGTTATATTTATAGTGTCCGGTCAAGGATCGTTTATTGAGCATAGGAATAAAATCCATTTCGAATGAAACAAGGTGGAGCAACGCAGAGTATGAACTATCATGTAGCATAGCCTTCACCCCCTGTTACCGAGCCAGTATTTACCCAGGTATTTTCCCTAAATTTAAAACTTATCCAATTGATACTGTTCCGATAATCTCCTTCAAGAGAGATTTGGCCTGGTCTTTCCTATCGGCATGTTACTTCAGTACATCTACAACATCTAGATACTTCAAGCAAGTGTAGTATATTTAGTCAAATACGTTTTGCCAGGCGCAAACATATCACACTCGCTCTCCACCTCCCCCCTCCCGCGTCGCCGATCACCAAACTAGCATTTCCAGCTAGCCCGTTTCTGATTGGTGAATCGACGTCTGCACCACTGCACTTCTGCACCTCAGCGCTATCTACCTAGCCGATGTCTGGGACTGTACCAGCCATTGGAGTTAGAATATTCTTTACTCTCAAGCTGAAACAACCATCTGATATACGCTCTGTCTATTAATGGATGTTCTCAGCCAGCGCTTTATTCTCAGCACCTGTTAATTTCATTTTGTCTTTATCCATTTTAGAGTAACGTCACCATTATATTATTTTATGTTATTTTTTTAATCTTGTGAGTTTACACTGTACATAGCCAAGGAATTGTCTTATTTATAATTTGTTTTAAATTTAATTAAAGTTTCATTGTTCATATTATTTGTTTTGCTTGTTTTGCCTTACTTTGCCACAGGACAGAACAGCTACGCAGTCATCTTTTTTTTTTAAATGTGATAGGCATTGACACCTGCCATTGGGAGGTCTGCCGAACACCTTCACTTCTTTTTTCCATCACATTGTTTCCAACCACATCATTCATTGTTTCGTTTTCTGTCTCGTGTTGAAATTTTTAATGGGTTATTAATATCCCCTTTATCACGTCCATTCAGGCACACCTCTCTATCAAGTCAAGCCTATTTATTCGCCTTTCTAGAGGCGAAAAAACCCATTATCACGCATTTGTTTGAAAAGACACCCCCCCCCCCCCAGGCATGGTGACTTCAATAAGGAGTTTAGTAGTAACTAACATAAAATATGTGGGGAGTGATATATACATAAAATATACTGTTGAGTGATTTGATTATTAATTCAAGATGTATTTAATTGTAATTATTACTTATGAGCAAACAGTACTTTAATTTTTTTATCACCAATAAACTTCCCTTCGCACATTTTGGAGGTGTTTCATATTTTAATCTATCACACTATTAGGAAAGTTTGATATAGTATATCCACTGAACGTTTATCAGATAGTCAGTAGTACTGCTACAATGGGATAATTATGAATTCATTGGCCTCAACTGTGGTGTAATATTGGTTGGTCATCCAACATCAGATTTCCCAGACATGTGTACTCCGTACTGAACATGTATTAATGGCGTCCACATGGTCCTGTGATGTACCAGCTCAACTGATTTCTGGTGTGCTCACAATATACCTGGGACAACATTATAACGCAACATCTAGCAAAAACAGATGTACATCAATTTTAGCACATAAATGTAAATTAATTATCGATTCTTACCCTTACGGGTGATATTTCCCTGTGCCCTAATGATTTATCTAAGACACAGAAACATTGGCCAACTAATCTGAGCTAATAGGCAACCCGAACTCTGGATTGTCTATAAACAAATAGTGACTATGTTTCCTTGTTGTAAGTCACGCTGCATCCTATAAATTGCAAGAGGAAATTTTTGTGTTGTGTGTGGCCAGCTGTGGGCTCAAGATTCCTCACAAACAACAACACTTTTAATGGCTGCCTCCTCCTCTCCTATTCGTCACCTTCAGGTGCCAGATTTATTGAGAAAAGTAAGGAGGGTTTTGTGTAATCTCATATTGTTATTGAATGTATAATTGAGATAATTTTATTGGTTTTCCAGCTCTGAGACTGGTGGATATTTAGTGAAACATTAGTTTGATAAATATTTTTACGAAACCATAATATAGAATACTATTCTCATTCTCGGTAATATTTTTATGACTAATAAATTTATTAGCTACTTGAACCTTTATAATTAACAGCATATTATGATTGCTACATTAGATTTTGTATATTTGATGTAGAAATTTCCTACACTCTCTAGGAGGACCTAATAAGGTTGTAGGCAGAACCCCAAAGTAGAAAAAAAGGGCAAAATTAAAATTTAAACAAAACACAAAATCCACCCCCGCGAGACCAAACTGCAGAAAACATGTAACCAGGAATAATTATCAGTGCACCTATGTGCTAACAGAATTTCTGGTCATGCAATCCCATTGTGTGCAATCCCATTGTGTGCCCCACTAACCAAAAACGACTCCCAACCCCAGGGAAGACAGACAGTCATAGACCACCGACTTACCTTAAGGGCATGGGCCTCCTCTCGTGTGGAGGCCCCCTAATGGGATCATATCCCGAACGCCCCTGGGAAGGTAACCCTGACCGCGCAACGGCAGTTCAAGCACGGTCAGGGGAAAAATACCCTGTGCACATGCAGCTCCATGTACACATAACATCTGGTTCATGCTACGTAACCTCATATAAACAAGCACATTAGCACTGTGAAGTATTTAATAAACTTATATTTTACCAAATAACTTAATATATTCCTTGTAAATAGCATTGTTAAAATGTGTAAATCATCTCACAAATCAAATGTGTAAATCATCCACATCATGTTGAGCTTGACGAGTCAAGGGACTCTGTATGTCAAAGTGCAACAAGAGAGTAAAGACTAAATGATGATTCAAGTGATTCAGTATGTCAAAGCATATTAAGAAAGTAAGGACTAACTTCCTGCAGGGTACCAGTAGTCAGCAAGGTTGTTTGTCATGAACCATGTCTGGGCGTTGTCCACAGCTGATTCCATCATCACATAGGTGATGCTAAGAGGGCTCAGATCTTTCCAGGTGAGCATCGTCTCCTGCCCCTGGGGTCCAGCACTACACCACCATCACAAGAAAATCGTTCATTACTCAATATTTACTGAAATAAACGTCTGTTTTTGTGTGATGCAGAGAGGAATGCTATAGATATGAACATTTTGATAGCTCGAGGCCCTCAGACTACACATATGATGGAACATTCTGTGCCTTAAAGGACCATAACTTAAGATATTAAAAGTTGTTAGATTTCAATAAAACTTTTTTGGACTAGTTGTATATGAAAAGGGCTGCAAGTGGTTTAAGTTTCATTATCGCAGCTTAAATAGAAAGAGAGAGAAAAACATTTTTCAACGAATTTTCAACATTTTCAAAATAACTCTACAACCACAAGTTTCAAGTGAAATCATTTCTGTGACACTCATCTATCACATTTGCATATACTAAAGAATTTTACCAAAGTTTTTATCCAAAATATGTTTAGTTTTACTAATAAAAATATTCAAATTCCCCCCCAAAATTATGCAAAAAGACTATGTTTATAAATATTTATAAAATTAATAAATGAACGTAGGAATAAAATAATTTTTCTTAATTTTAGAGACATAAACTCTACATATAATGTGTACGTTTCATGTAAATTTAATAATAAATGAAAGTATTGAGTCACTTTTATGCTGTAAACGGTGTAATTGAAAAACAAATATTGACAAAAATTCTGCCCCTTGTGGCTGAGGTTGACATCAACCGATTTTCTCCAGAATTGACACCCTTACAGACAGGCTTACGTTCAGTAAGGTGTATAAGTTTCATGCAAATCGCCAGATAAAAAAATGAGAAACTAAAAAAAATCTCAACTTTTTTGTTTAAACTAAATATATTTTAGATAAAACTAAATATTAAAATCCTTTATTATATGCTATTGTGATAGATGAGAGTCATAGATATGATTTCAGTTGAAACTTGTGTTTGATGTTAATTTTTGAACATTTTTGAAAAAATTCAAAGTCATTAGTAAATATTGTTTTTCTCCCTTTATATTTTGGCAACGATGTTGAGACTTGGACCAGTTGAAGCCCTTTTCATATACAACTATTCGAAAAATGTGATTGAAATTGAACAAGTTTTCATTTAATGTATATTTTCAAAGTTATGATGTGGGTTGTGAAAAATGAAGTAAATTAGGAAAAAATGGGTACAGATAACCATTTCTGGAGCAGGAGCCGAGAAACTTTACAGCAACATACAAAATACCTTCATTTAAAATGGGATCAGACTTGTGATTTTGCTTAGACCTAGCTTGTGGTATTAGTTAACATTGTCCATGGGAGATTTCTCAACCATATGTGGCATTTTGAAGTTAGAAGAGACCAGTGATTGGTTATTTAAGGTGGTTGGTATTTCTTCTGGCAGGACAAATATTGAAAATAAAATTCTATATAATTTATTAATATCTGCAAGTTATAAATGAATTATGTTAATAAATTAATAATCTGCTAATATATTGCAACAACACCAATATATCAACAAATTTTCAAATATAAAGTTAAAATCTGGACATAACTCAATATTGGTAATGAAGAACTTGTAATATTAATTGACTTCAGGCCTCCAAACCTGACCAGTATTGAATATTGTTCAGGTTTAAAGGATATTTGGGAAAAAATATCATAGAATATATGTGTAACGGCACTTGTAAGTTAGGAAACAAAAATTTTGATTAAATTGACTGAACATCTGTAATTGGAAATGCTAAAGCAGAAGAGTTGTGAAGGTTTAGCATGCTCTCTACTGCAGCATAATACAGTCAACCAAGAAAAATAATATATTTCACGTCATGCTAATGGCATGGATACACTTATTTTATAGGAGAGAGAGAGAGGTGACAGGAGAGACGGTAAACGTTAAGGAATACAAATGAGATGAAGTTTGGAAAAAAAGGAAGAAGTATAGCAATAAGGTAGAAGTATTGGAATAAGGTTTAGGTACGGGAAAAAAGATAGAAGTAAATGAATAATGTTGACGTGAAGGAAAAGGGAGAAGTAAAAAATATAGAAAACTACAAGACCCAAAGGTTTAAGAAGATGAGGTGAAAAAAAGCTAAAGGAACATTAGATTAAAAAAGGAATGAGAGCCTTGAGACGGGGCAAAGCTAAGTCAAATCACGCTTGCAAAGAGGATTACAGCATTTAACTATATATACTGTGAAAGGCAAGTATCAGCAGCAACAAAGCAATGACTAAGATTCATGTTGTGTATGAAACCAGATTCAACAAGCCAACTTCTGTCAAGACTAAACGCAGGGAAAAATTATTTTAGAAGGCCAATGTATAGAATGATTAGAGTTCCTAACATGACAGAACAGAGCACTGTTTGTCTGCAGACTTAACCCTTATTTTTTGTTTCTTAGGTCTGTCGTTTTCTCTAAATTATCGGAAGGGACAAGACGAACAGGTAATAGACACCAGCAACATTGGAAGCAGGAAGATCAGTGTGAACCAAATTACAACTAAGTGATGTCGAAAGGTGAGTTTTACATAAAGAAGACGAAGGTCATTAGTGATATTTTTAGTTCAGATATGCATGGAACACAGCATAGTGGTAATAGTGACGGAAACAGGTTTAGGAGGAATGAAAGTTAGTTTTGCTTGAGAATTGGCACAGTTGGTAATATGTAAGGTGTATTCAAGATGAGGGAACGACTTATAAATAAAAGAAATTTCGGAACCAAGAAACTGAGAGTCACTGATGCGTTGAGTTCAGATAAGGAGATGAGGACACTTTTCTTAATAAAACAGGATTGGTAGGAAAATAAATGAATGTACATACCTCTATGCATAGTCTTGCGGTAAAAAGAGAAAGAGAATCTAGACACAGATCTGTGAACGTGAACGTCATGAAAAGGAAAGGGGGTAATTAGATTCCCATTCAACTTTGAAATTTATAGGAGCCAGATTGTTAAGAGAGGAGAGTAGAGGAATGGCTGGAAAAGCCCATTGATGCTAAAGTGCAAACATATCATCAACAGAACGAAGATAGAGTGGGACGAGTGTCAATAGCGGGAAAAAGAACAGATTCAGTTGTTCAGGACGGCTTGAAACTTCCTCAATTATTTTGAGAGTTATGGGCCGAGCTTCTACTTTTTACCCACCTTTTTTGACATTGTTAGAACACAGCTCTAACTTGTATTCGAGCGGGGAAGAGTTGTGAGTCTCATTCACATTGATCCAACGCGTGTGAGGCCGAAGCTCTATCGACTGAGCTATGAGCAGTCTTAATAAGAAAAGATTCCAGAAGCAACTACTGCTGCCAAGGTGGTATTTTTTACTTTCCCTGACTACTACTGAAGCTCAAAGGAATTAGTGATCCACGTCCACGCCATATAAATTGTTATCCACACGTCCATGGAAATAAACATTTAATTCAACTAAACTGGATGACTCGATGATTATTACGACTTTGAGCAGTCTTAATAATGAATTTAGCAGCAGTAGTTTCTTATGGAATCTTTCATTATTTCAACTGCCAATAACTCAGTCGATACAACTTTGGTCTCACACGCGTGGGATCTGTGGTTCGAGTCTCCTAGAGTCCAGGTGATTTTTTATTTTATTCCCATGGAAGTGAGGATGACAGTTTATATGGCGTGGGCGTGGATCACTAATTCCTCTGAGTTTCAGTAGTAATCCGGGAAAGTCGAAAATTCAACCTTGGAAGCAGTTGCTGCTACTGGAATCTTTCCTTATTAAGACTCCTCATAGCTCAGTCGATGTAGATTCGGCCACTTGTGGGGTTCACGTTTAGAGTCACCTAGAGCCCAGGTGAATGAAATGTTTATTTCCATAAAAGTGTGGATGAAAATTTAGGTGTGATTGTCCCAAGACTATTAGAGTGGGGAAGAGTTGTGAGTGCCCAGGACTATTAGAGCGGGGCAGCGTTGTTTTTGTCCCAGAACTATTAGAGCGGGACAGAGTTTTGTCCCAGGACTTTTAGAGTGGTAAAGAGTTGTGTACCTGTAGGACCACTTGCAGGTGGTGCAAGTGGTGCTCTAATCGTCCAGGACTTCTCTGCTCTAATAGTCCAGGACTATTAGAGCGGGGAAGAGTAGTGAGTGTCCCAGGACTATTAGAGCAGATAGAGTTATAAGTGTTACAGGACTAATAGAGTGGAGAAGAGTAGTGAGTGTCCAAGGACAATTAGAGCAGGGAAGAGTAGTGAGTGTCCAAGGCCTATTAGAGCAGATAGAGTTATGAGTGTTCCAGGAATAATAGAGCGGAGAAGAGTAGAGAGTGTCCCAGGCCTATTAGAGCAGATAGAGTTGTGAGTGTCCCAGGACTCTGTCAAGGGACCGCTTACATTCACAATATGTATAAACGATTTTAATTCCAAAGTTAACAGCACAATTATTAAATTAGTTGAAATTGAAAGAATAATAACGTAGATGAGTATTCAGATATGAGTCATGAAATTATAAATAGATTTTAAAAATGTTCTGAAAATTATAAGATGGACTTAAGTGTAGAAAAGAAAATAGTTGCGAGTTATCATCTAGATAATGTAGAAATTTATTCATCTGATCATGACAAAATCTGCAAATCAATAGTGTGGCCCAAAAAAAATAATAATATCTAAATGATCAAAATGAGGCAAGAGAAAATGTGATTTACATATATAACGATGTAAAGACAACACGTCGATAATCTTGGTCATGTGAGATCATGCTATCCTTACCATCTTTCAGCTGATAAAAATGTACCACCTGCAAGTGGTGCTACAGGTAAGGATGCACCACCTGCAAGTGGTGCTATAGGTAAGGATGCACCACCTGCAAGTGGTGCTACAGGTAAGGATGCACCACCTGTAAGTGGTGCAACAGGTAAGGATGCACCACCTGCAAGTGGTGCTACAGGTAAGGATGCACCACCTGTAAGTGGTGCAACAGGTAAGGATGCACCACCTGCAAGTGGTGCTACAGGTAAGGATGCACCACCTGTAAGTGGTGCAACAGGTAAGGATGCACCACCTGCAAGTGGTGCTACAGGTAAGGATGCACCACCTGTAAGTGGTGCTACAGGTAAGGATGCAACACCTCCAGGTGGTGCTACAGGTAAGGATGCACCACCTGCAAGTGGTGCAACAGGTAAGGATGCACCACCTGCAAGTGGTGCTACAGGTAAGGATGCACCACCTGTAAGTGGTGCAACAGGTAAGGATGCACCACCTGCAAGTGGTGCTACAGGTAAGGATGCACCACCTGTAAGTGGTGCTACAGGTAAGGATGCAACACCTCCAGGTGGTGCTACAGGTAAGGATGCACCACTTACAGGTGGTGCAACAGGTTAGGATGCACCACTTGCAAGTGGTGCTACAGGTAAGGATGCAACACCTCTAGGTGGTGCTACAGGTAAGGATGCACCACCTGCAAGTGGTGCTACAGGTAAGGATGCACCACCTGTAAGTGGTGCAACAGGTAAGGATGCACCACTTGCAAGTGGTGCTACAGGTAAGGATGCAACACCTCCAGGTGGTGCTACAGGTAAGGATGCACCACCTGCAAGTGGTGCTACAGGTAAGGATGCACCACTTGCAAGTGGTGCTACAGGTAAGGATGCAACACCTGTAAGTGGTGCTACAGGTAAGGATGCAACACCTCCAGGTGGTGCTACAGGTAAGGATGCACCACCTGCAAGTGGTGCTACAGGTAAGGATGCACCACCTGTAAGTGGTGCAACAGGTAAGGATGCACCACTTGCAAGTGGTGCTACAGGTAAGGATGCAACACCTCCAGGTGGTGCTACAGGTAAGGATGCACCACCTGCAAGTGGTGCTACAGGTAAGGATGCACCACTTGCAAGTGGTGCTACAGGTAAGGATGCAACACCTCCAGGTGGTGCTACAGGTAAGGATGCACCACCTGCAAGTGGTGCAACAGGTAAGGATGCACCACCTGCAAGTGGTGCTACAGGTAAGGATGCACCACCTGCAAGTGGTCTCAGCCATGAGAGGCCCAACAAGAGCACGTATAAAGGCTCGTGAGATGTGAGGCTCCAGTTTACGTGACATAAGAGGGAGAATCTCACCTGATCTGGCCGCCGCACCACGAGAACAAGAACACTCGGTACGTCGAGGCTGAGTACACCCCGGGAGTGAACGCTGACGCTACGTCGGCTGACGCACCGTTGGTTACTTTCCTGAGGATGCTGTAGCTGCTGGCCTGGAGCACTGTCAGGGGATTGAACCCGTTACTCTCACTCTCACTTGTAATATATCCACTCTTGATATGCTATTATAAAATTCATATATAAACTTAGATTGCTGATTATCGTTTTGTGAACTGTTTCATATTGAAATGAAGTAAACATTATTAATTAAAAAATATATCTTTTAAATTGTCCGTGTTATATAAATTAAACAAAGCTAAATCATAACACTAGCATTCAGTGTGGCACTTTACACCAAGTAAATTTTAGGCTATGACTAAAGATTGTCAGTTTTAACTTGGGTGTGTTTTTTGCTTGCAAAAACAGGAAGAATAAAACTTCCTCAAGCACATGAAACTTATCTACCGTGACGAGAATATTGGGTGCTAAAGTACAAGCAACTATCATAGGGCCAAGTAACAGCTGCTAGTGATTCATCCATTATCACCATAACCATAGTGTTGGTAGTGAGTCATCCATTATGTCCATAACCATAGTGTTGGTAGTGAATCAAACTATAAGATCAGATTAATAGTAATTGTGGCCAATAGGGAGTCATTCAGTAAGAAAACACAACAGTTAAAGTAGTGATTCATAGAGTGAGAACAGAACAACAGTAATGTTAGCAAGGAGTGAGTCACACAGAAAAAACAGGTCAACAGCAATGATAGCAAGTAGTGATTCGTATAGCAAGAAAAGAACAACAGTAATGATATCCAGTAGTGAGTCATGCAGTAAGAACATACCAACAGTATTTGTTGTGAGTCAAAAAGTAAGAACAGATCAACAGTAGTGGAAGTGAGTCATTCAGTAAGAGTAGATTAAATGTAATGGTAGAGAGTCAAAAAAGTAAGAACCGACAAACATTAATAGTAGCCAGTAGTAAGTCACACAATAACAAGATTATAACTGTTATTGTAGTGAGTCATATAGTAAGAACAAATCAGCAATAATGTTAGTGAATCATTCAGTAAAAACAGATCAACAGTAATAGTAGTGAGTCATACAGTAAGAGCAGACGAAGACTAAGTTTGAGTCTTACAACAAAAATTGATCGACAATAATGGTAGCCATTAGAGAGTCATATAGTAAGAACAGATCAACAATAACAGTAACCAGTAGTGAGTCAAGGAGTAAGAACAGATCAACAGTAATGGTAGCTAGTAGCGAGTTATACAGTAAGAAGAGATCACCAGTAAAGGTAATGAGTCATATTTCATGGAGCCATCCTTCCGTCTGGGTTCCGCGGGCTCGGTGTTTTGTTGTGGGTGTGCTGGAATTGATGCTTGATCCTCGTACGGTTCATAGTAAATCTATTCCGGATAACATCATGTTGCTTTGGGAGGCGTATTGTGTTCGATTCCCGGCAGTAGAGTGGCCGGATAAGTATGAACAGTTTTGAGTAGTTTGTGTGATTGGTGTGTGATGGGGCCTGTGGTTTGTTGTGCTGTGTTGTACTTATTGCAACCCGTCCTCGACTCAAGTCCATTACATCCAGCGGTCGACCCCACAGACGCATTCATAAATTTTAACATGCTGTGCATTCAAAACGGGAATTTTCTCAAGAATAAATTAATATTATAATATATTAGCGTATTGTGCATATATTGGCATAGGTTAGGTTAGGTTAGGTGTTTAGGTTCTGTTGGCGATTATTTGTATTTGTAGTTCGTGGGTGAAGCATTTATAGCGTTGTGATTCGAACAAAATTCGTCAGTGAAACACTTGTTCGGGATATGTTCGAACGTCAGCAGTTGTGAGTCGTGTGTAAACCGCTTTTCATTCATAAACAGGGGGTTTGGCGGGTGCATGGAATCACTTTTGGATCTTTGTTTGGAGGACGGGCTGACTTATTGTGCGCCCTTCAGGCCGGTGTTATGTTTCGTTCTCATGACCTTGTTTTATTGTATTTCTTAGCATGCTTTGCATGTAAATAAAATAATAACAAAAATAATAATAATGGTAGTGAGTCATACAGTAAGAAGAGATCAACAGTAATGTAGCCAATTCTGAGTCAAACAGTAAGAGTGGATCAACAGTACGAGTAGTGAGTCATACAAAAAAAGATCAACAATAATGGTATTGAGTCATTCAGTAAGAAGAAGTCAACTGTAATGGTAGCCAGAATCGAGTAATACAGTAAGAACAGAACAACAGTAATGGTTGCCAGTAGTGAGTCGTGCAATAAGAACATATCAACAGTAATAGAGTACAAGCAACTATTATAGGGATAAGTAACAGTTGGAAGTGAGTCATCCATTATGTCCTTAACCACAGTGTTGGTAGTGAGTCATCCATTATGTCCTTAACCACAGTGTTGGTAGTGAGTCATCCATTATGTCCTTAACCACAGTGTTGGTAGTGAGTCATCCATAATGTCCTTAACCACAGTGTTGGTAGTGAGTCATCCATAATGTCCTTAACCACAGTGTTGGTAGTGAGTCATCCATAATGTCCTTAACCACAGTGTTGGTAGTGAGTCATCCATAATGTCCTTAACCACAGTGTTGGTAGTGAGTCATCCATTATGTCCTTAACCACAGTGTTGGTAGTGAGTCATCCATAATGTCCTTAACCACAGTGTTGGTAGTGAGTCATCCATAATGTCCTTAACCACAGTGTTGGTAGTGAGTCATCCATAATGTCCTTAACCACAGTGTTGGTAGTGAGTCATCCATAATGTCCTTAACCACAGTGTTGGTAGTGAGTCATCCATAATGTCCTTAACCACAGTGTTGGTAGTGAGTCATCCATAATGTCCTTAACCACAGTATTGTTAGTCATCCATTATGTCCTTAACCACAGTGTTGGTAGTTATGGGCCTCATAGATTAAAAACTATTCAACATTAATGGTAATGAGTCATAAAGTTAGAATGAATCAACGGTAATGGCAGTGAGCCATACAGTAAGAATAAATCAACAGTGATGGTAGTGAGTCATACAGAAAGAATAAATCTACAGTAATGACAGTCAAAAGTGAGTTATACAACAAGAGAAGATCAATAATAATGTTAACTAGTAGTGAGTCATTCAGTTAGACCAGACCAACAGCTATAGTAGTCAGTACAGAGTCATATTGTAAGAACAGATCAACAGTATGGGTTGCAAGTCATATTGTAAGATGAGGTTATCTTGAGGTTATCTTGAGATGATTTCGGGGCTTTTTAGTGTCCCCGCGGCCCGGTCCTTGATCACGCCTCCACCCCCAGGAAGCAGCCCGTGACAGCTGACTAACACCTAGGTACCTATTTACTGCTAGGTAACAGGGCCATAGGGTGAAAGAAACTCTGCCCATTGTTTCTCGCCGGCGCCCGGGATCGAACCCGGGACCACAGGATCACAAGTCCAGCGTGCTATCCGCTCGGCGGACCGGCTCCCCCGCTCGACCGACCGGCTCCCCAGAAATGAGACCAACAGTAATGATACCCAGTATTGAGTCATACACTAAGAACAAATCAACAGTAATGGGAGTGAGTCATTCCGTAGGAATAAATCAACTGTAATGATAGTGTGTCAAAAAAGTAAGAACAGAGGAACATTAATAGTAGCCAGTAGTGAGTCATACAATTAAATTGCATCAACTGCAATTGTAAAGAGTCATACAGTAAGAAAACATCAAAGGTAATTATAGTGAGTTATGCAGTGAGAACAGATCACCAATAATAGTAGCTAGTAGTGAGTTAAACAGTAAAAACAGATCAACAGTTTTTCAGTCACGTTACTGTGAATTTTCTTCTGCATCAACATTATTAATTGCAAGTAGTGAGTCATAAAGTAAGAACAGACGAAGAGTAATGGTAGTCAATAGTTAGTGATACATTAATAAATGATCAACAGTAATGGTAGCCAATACTGAGTCCTACAGTAAGAACAGATCGTATTGATAGAATATTGATAGTAAACAGCGAATCATACAATAAGAGTGAAAAAAACAGTAATCGTGGTGAGTTTACAGAAATAACAGATACAGCAATGGAAACCAGTAGTGAATCATCCTGTAAGAGCAGATCACCAGTAGTAATAGTGAGTCATACAATAAGAACCTATCAATAGTAATGGTAGTGCGTCATAAAGCAAGAACAGATCCACAGTAATGGTAGTTAGTCATATAGTAAGAACAGACCAACAGTTACGGTAGAGAGTCGTACAGTACAAACAGGTCAGCATATATTGTAGCCAGTAGTGTGATTCATCACAGTAATCACACTAACAGTGATTCATCAACCCGTCCTCCTACTAATTACGTCTCTTTTCGCTCGTATACGCATCAAGGCCACGAATGGTCGTTACAGAAAATGAAATCGGCTCGCCAAAGTGAAGTGCTGTCCCGTTTTCTGTAGTGGGTTCTCTGGCCTCAACCCGTTCTCGCAAATTCGTAAAGTCAATATTGACTTATTAACTACGTGCTTAGGTGATATACTAAACATAATAGATACCCTTAAAAAGATTCATAGAAAACACCAACCTTACCTAACCTTGTTAGTATCTTAAGATAAGCATCTTATTGCTTCGTAATTACAATTATTACTTAACCTATACCTATTATAGGTTAGGTAATAATTGTAATTACGAAGCAATAAGATGCTTATCTTAACATACTAAGTAGGTTAGGTAAGGTCAGTATTTTCTATGAATCTTTTTACGGGTATCTATTATGTTAAGTATGTCACCTATGCACATATTTAATAAGTCAATATTGACTCATTAAATTTGCGAGAACGGGTTGCTGGCCTACTCGGTTAGGTTAGGAAGGAAACCTTTCAATTAACGATTTTCATGACGTTTGGAAACCTTAAGAGAACTTCCTGCCTTCATAACCTAAAAGATGACCCTTAACTTGTTGTTTTAGAAAACCAAATTTCAAAATTTTTTTTCAATTATTTTTAATTTTCATATTACGGCCTTTTTTTTGGCTGATACACATAGGAGCGAAAATCGACGTAATTTGTAGGAGGACGGGTTACATTCATACAGTATTAACATAACACTAATGTATTGAGTTATAAAGTAAAACAGACTAA